TCTGTATTCTATTTTTCCATGAAAATGTTAGGATATCATGTCTATTTACTGTGAAATTACTCATTTTCTACTTTTTAGGCATATTATTTTGGTTGTTAAAAAAATAAAATTCCCTACCGACCTACCTATTTTTTTGGATTTTTTTAAAAACGTGACCAACACAAAGCTTTTTTTTTTGGCCCTATCCTGGTCCCTAGGTCACAGCGTACGAACACGAAATATGAATAATTTTTTGTAAACACATACAATTGAGTTAGCCACATAGCCCCTACCTACCTTTTTTTTCTAGTACCACACCTGTACAGTATTACACACTGTATTTTTATATTTCCAACAGTATAAACTACAGCCCTGGCACAGGTCTGGTTATGTAATTGGTTTTTTTTTTATTTTATTTATTTTTTTTTAGCTCCTGTCAATCTGTCCCAGTTGTATTAGTATGTTTAGCGAGGTCAGACACAGAGTAGTGCATTAATAGAGTTTTGTGTTTGTCATTAAAGTTAGACCTGTAGGTTGATGGTTAAAATTTGTCCATATTACCCCAGAAAATACTGCTATTCTAGTAGACCTACCCAGTTTTATTATACTTTGGTTAGATTAATATATTCAAAAAATTTCTTTGGGCCTTGTAGGATCTCATGAAATTATTTTATTCAGTAATTTAACCATAATTTTCACTAGTGTATGACAATTATCTCTGTATGCAATTACTTACATTATTTTTACATTTAATTTTGATTATAGGAAAGGACCTGTAATTACACTGGTGAGTTCTTTTCACAATTTATTACTTGTTAATTTCAAAACATTCACCAGTAAATTTCACTGTAAATTCTGCTAATCTTTAATTTTAATTTTAAAGGTTAATCATATAGAATGTGTGTACAGTGACCTGCACATGGTGTGGTTCTAATGTATCCATATGTATAGAAAGTCTTGAATGAAACAATTATAATTTTACTGTTGTTTTTTTGGTGTGTGTTTTAAATTAGGGAGAAACTGCAGTTAACTGCAGTTTAATCACATTTTTGGCTTCATGTCAGAATAAGAGCAAATTACATAACATTTTCTTGCAAATTGGTAACTCCAACAATAAACAATCACAATCTATTAGAAACCTCGGAGTCGTCTTTGATGGGGCGTGCACAAATGTCAGAATAAATTTTATCTTTATGTAAATCACTTACTTACCACCTCAGAAGTCTCCCAAATCAGAAATTACATGATGAATCTGTTTGCCATAATGCTGTTCACTGTTTGATACTGTCCCGTCTCGATTACTGTAATTCCCTACTTCATGGTTCATTTAATAAGGAGATAAAACGTCTCCAGCTTATTCAAAACAGAGCGGCAAAACTCATATTTCAAGCGAGAAAATTTGACCATGTCACACCCTTACTCTCACGGCTTCACTGGTTACCTGTTCATAAACGCATCATTTTCAAGATTCTAAATCTGACTTATTAGTGCCTACATAATAATGCTCCATCTTAACTTCGGCAGGAACTTGTAACTCAATATACTCCTTTATTTCATCCTGAACTTGATCCTTTCGTATTATATACACCAGAAACATACTTAAAATATGTCCCCAAAGGCTTGTATGCATTTTCCCCATTTCTCTGGAACCAACATCCAACTGTCATCTGTTATGCTCCAACTCTTTCTCAATTCAAATTTACTTTTTAGCGCTGTGGGACTCCGGTAAAGAGCACTAGGCCTATATGAATGCTAAAATATTATTACTTTCAATTCATCTTCAGATGGACATCAAGAAAAAATAAGCCCTGCTAAATAGTCCATTATAAATAGACTTATAAAAAGCAGCAAAACAACATCACTTTTTTGTAACAATTAAAGTTCAACATGACTATTCAGAACAGCTATAAAGTTTATTAATGGTGGTTCATAAACATTGCTTAAATCTTCACAACCAAATTTAAACCTGACTATTACATGATATTAATAAACTGGTTTAGCATGAAGTTCAAAGTTGTATAATTTTGGCAGGAATATCAAAATTACTATTTACTATAAATTATAATTGTTTATTTACCTGTAGTATCCCATACAAGACTTCTACATACCAGATTACTGTTGGAAGTCATTCTATTGATTGCTATAAAAAATGAGAGTAATTTCAAAGATACATAGGTGTTTTGCCCTACCTGATACTCAGTACGTTTAAAAAAAATTGCGAAAAAATCGCAAGTTGTTCTCGGATGGGACTCGAACCCACGATCTCCAGATTACTAGCCTGGCCTCATACCGAGACCACCGAGCTTGCGCCTGATGTCCAGGGTTGAATTCGAGTCCAAGTAAGTAGCGGGTACTGCAGTTTTGATAATAATTGTTATTTTCGTGATGGAATATCAAAGATATGTTATAACATTTAAGCCACAGGTGGGCAAAGTGTGGCCCGCAGGCCGCATGCGGACCTTGTTTTATACGGTCTGACACCAATCATATGTAAAAAATAACATTGAAACTGAGAATAAAGTGATGTAAAAGCAGTGCTTGGAGGTTTTTGGAAACTCACTATAAACATCAATGGTTGGTTGCGGCCCTCGGTGTTAAATCAAAAATTCACTTTGACCCTCCAATCGATTTTTATGCCCACCCCTGATTTAAACATTCAGTGCTTAGAATACTAGTTACTTCTGGTCTAACCATCCATTTTACCCTGAAAATATAGATGAATCCAAGAAGAGTGGCGCACTCTTTTGCGATACAATTACTGGGGATTCTCACCTAGGCCTACTCCTACAATGTCAATGCGGTGTGGTTATAAACGCAGTACCATTGTGAAATCCGACTTTTTATTTTGCAGTTGAATAATGCCGTATGTATGTATATTTCGTGTATTTAGGCATCTTCCAACTTCGGAAATGCCACCCCAGTAATGGTGTCGACAAAAGAGGGCGACGTTCAAAAAAGTGCTCTTGGATTCATCTATATTCCCCTCTTTCTAGTTAAGCCTTTGTATTCACATTTTGTTTGCCAGAATCAACCACTTTAAAGGTTCATTTTTTTTTTCATTTATAACAGTTTACATCCAAATACATGGTACAAGAAGTTCTAATTTTGCCTAAATAATAAGTTTTTCCAATTTTATTATAAATTTACCAATGATTAAGAGGTGTACTTGTATTCTGACAAGTTTTAATACCCTGTAAAATATACAGTACTTCAGAAGAAAACATTAAAATTTCCTCTGATTTTAGCATTTCTTTTTAACATGCAATATTATAAATGTTAATGCCAGACTAACATTATGCTTTTGCTGCTCGATTGATGTAATACTGCTCTAAAGCTCAATTTGTTTGGTAATGAACAAAATAAATTGGGTTCTTAAGGGTGAAATGCCTAAGTAACCAAGATGACTCTAGAGAAATGTACACTCGAGGACATCAAAACATTATAGTTGATGTTGAAATTTAAAAAAAAACTGTTTAAAAACAAAACAGAATCTTAGTTTCAGCTGCTTAGGTTTCAATCCTGATGGCAACAATATCTAAAATGATTTTGTTTCTTAGAAAATGAGGTAGAGGGTAAAAAAGAAGATAAAGCCTGTACATCAGCCAAAGATAAGAGTGAACTTGGACTTAGTAATGGTAAGTTTTGCTGTAAATATTAAAATTTATTCAATATTTTAAAAATATGCAAGGTTTTATCGAGCAACAATTTCTTTTGAAAACTACTTGTTTGTCTCTCTGCAGTCATAACTAATGCCTCCTTGTGTATGTGGTTGGAGAAGTCACCATTTAGTACTATAATTGAATGAGATTGAAATGTCTCTAGGGACGTCAATTAGTCCTGGACAAATACTCAATAAACAAGACTAGACTACACCACCATTTGGGTTCATCATAGCAACACTTTATTCAGCTATCCGCCTAGCGCGGCCCATTGATATCGCCATCTATAGTAGCTATAAATATCCAACAAAGATAGAATTTATTTTAATGAATAGATTGAAATAGATTGTGACCCGAATGTTTCGTTAATTTGAAGTAATATTTGGTAGTATAATTATGGGTAAATAGTTTCCTCTGGTTTCAAATAGCAATAAATATGTATAATTCCTTGAGATAAACCACATCGCCTCTCACACCTATATGATCAACTGTTAAAGACAGCTGGGGCGGCCCGCTACCAACGAGCATCCTGACTGATAGCCAGGCGAAACTGTCAACAACAAAAAACAGTGACTAATATTTGGTTTATCTCAAGGAATTATACATATTTAGTGTAAATTATGTTGTTTTTTTAAGGCCAAGGAATTAATTGTTTATTTTGAACAAGAAGCATCTGATTTATAGTATAACATTCTATTACCTGAAATTCTGAAACAAACTAGGGAAAAAAAAAAATAATAAAGTGCCCTCTAACATTAAGTTTTTTTAAAGTAAAAGATACGCTTTCTGTTTGCAAAATAGAAAAAGTTGTGAAAAATTTAACCTATTGAATTTATATGGAATCCGTAATGCGAGACTAATACTTTGTTTAACGAACCTGGAAATTTTCTTTATTTTTATTCCGCCCTCCGCTGCCTTGAAATTGCTGAAATATATATATATATTTCTTTCTAATTATGTAAATTTGAAGCATTTCCCATACTTTGTTTACCAATAAAATTTTATTTTTATTCTGTCCTCTGTCTGGATGATTTTAGCAAAACTATTTGCTAAATAAGAAAACAAAATTTTATTTTAATTTCTATTCCACCCTCCTCCAATAATCTTTCAAAAAATAAGTATGCGAAAAAAGGAATAAAAAAGTCTCTCCTAATGCAATGAGAAATTATATAATATGCTGTATATATGTTAAAAACCAGGGGCAGGCAAATGCATTAAGTAGTAGTGTATTTTTAGAGGTCTTGCATCACCTTTCTGACCTGATATTAAGATTTAAAATTTTTTAAGATTGTAAAGTGCACAGTAGTATAAGGCGCAGTGATTTTAGTTTATTGTGATGTGCATTAATAGTATTTGTTGTGACATAATTTGGTCAATGCTGTGAATACAAATTGATAAACTGATATTATGTTTTTACTATAGCAAGTTTTGACAATGTATTAAGATAGGTAACAATGTGTGCGCTGAACCGTTAAAGAACGCAGTACACTCTTAGAAAAGAGTATAGGGGATTGTGTATATACTACTCAATCACCACTAGAAAGACCCCACTGGAGTCTTATTCAAAGTTTCATGGGTTATTCTTGGTGTTTTATATCCGTCCATCCATCCAAAGGGCTACTGGGGGTACTTTGTAGGGGGTCTTACTTCTCCTGATATCTTGATTCAAGTTTTTGGTTTGCTGTGAAGTACTTTAATGATAATACAATGTTTTGACAAAATTTGGTCCATGGGTTGAAATTAACTGTTTTGAAGCAATTGTTCAACCCCTGGGTGTCATATTTCTTAACTGTTTAAAAAAAAGAAACTTTCAAGGCTAACAAAGAAAATCATTCTTTTGTTGCTAGCTCCCAGACTATGTACCTTGTATACAATTTCAGGTTCACTAATCAGCAATGTGACCGACTTTTATTGTCAAATAAAGGAAGTCTTCATATCGGCTAAAATTCCCATATTGACCATGCTAACGTTGGGCTAAAAAATATAAACTATCATATATTTGCCATCTGTTATCTGTTTTTATTAATATTTGAATAAATTTTTAGCTTTTGATGTCTAGAGTACATAGATCTAATGATGTCATTTTTCATTTTGGGAGTGGGTCACATATTTCTTGTTTGATGATTTTCAATTTTTATCTTTGAATTTTTATTGTACTTATTTATTTTTAATAACCATGCTTGTTTAATACTTTGTCTCCTTATGTATTATTTTTATAAGAGTGTAATAAACTATGTTTTATGTAATAACTTTAAAATAATTTGCAATGCATCTTACTAATTTAAATGTTGCTTCAACATATATTTTTCTCTAGACGTAAGTAAGTTGCATGCTCTTCTTAACTTGGAACGAACATCACCATTATCAAGAAATAATGTTGTTATTGACAAGCAATCAATGACAACCTTAGAAAGTCCTAGATGGATTGATGACTCGGTAAGAATAAAACAATAAAGAAAACATATTCAAGTATAATGCTAATCTACTGTAGTCATAAGAAATTTGATATTACAAAAAATTTAGATTAAAGTTCATCATTTAAATTACATTATATCGTAGAGCCCTGTTTTTTTACTCAATGATTATATCAAGAAAGTGACAAAAAGAGTGATTCCAGTATTGTTTATTCATTATTCTGTTAAAATAGGAATTAGTTTGTTGATATACAAATTATTTTGTTTTAGATTATTGCAGAGTATTTTTTGTTTTATTTCAGGTAATAAATTCATTTCTTGGACTTATAGCAGATGATAAGCACTATGTGTTTAGAGTACAATTATGGAATCAAGATTGGGACCAGCCATGGATGTCAACTGATGTAAATACTGTATATTAGAATCCATAAATTTACTCAAGTTGTGTGATTTGTACCTGTAGTAATGTATTATTCAGGCGTCCCAAGTCTCCCGGAACTCGTGCGATTGGGATGGCCTCCCACACGCCCGCAAGCAAGCAAGAATGTCATGTTTTCACTACTTTATTATCAATTGTCTCAGAGAATCCATTGTCCATGTGTATCACATTGTGCAACAAAATATATTTAATGTATGAAAGCTCATTAACCAGATCAGTGGTAGATCAAGAAGGAAGCCCTCCACCCCCAAATTTTTCTAAATTAAAAGATATGGTGAGAGAAAGAAAATCATATTCAAATTTAAGTCTGAGAGAGTGCCATTTTCGGCCATCTAGAGGTGCCATAATCATAAATTTTCTTACTTCAGCCCCAATCATATGGATTAAGGTGGTATAGGCCCTATATCTGTGAAAGCCTTTTCCTGCTTTCCCTATTGCGAATTCTTGGATCCATCGCTGCAGATGTCCTGACAGGAGAAAAGTGGGCGTGGTCAGGAGTTGCTCGAAATATATCGAATGTGGTCCAAGGAGCAGAGCCCTAACTAAAAGTTTGACAATTTATCTATTGATATGTAGAAAATACAGTACATATAATTTATTTCTCCCCGACGAATTGTCCCTAAGCAATGATCAAACCTTCTTATCAAAATCTCAGCTTAAAAATCGTATTAGATGGCGATTGCGTGCCAGCCAAAGCTATATTGATAAATCTGACTTAAGTAAAAAATGGACTTATTTAGACTAATTTAAGCTGATTTCTAGTTTGATAAATCTGGTTATATTCCTTATCCAAGAAGACTTGTTTCACCACCAGAACCTTTTACGCAAGCCATTTGAACCAGCACTGATATTATGGCTGAACTGCCCTTGCCTTCTGCTTGGCTATCCAGCTCACCTCACTTGTTTTTCCTGTTATAAAATAAATGTTATTTTTTTTATTAAGCCGTTTGTTTAATGTACTGTATGATTTTTATGCTTAATAAAGTAGCATAATGCTTTGTCTAACTTTATAGTTTTTTCTATTAAAATAATGTTTATGTATTTGAATTTTCACAGGGTCCCAAACTATGTTTTTCTTCTTTATCAGGTTGTGTTGTCAAATTTTGAATGGATATTTATGCCGATATACATACCAAACCATTGGATTCTGCTGGTAGCAAATATACCAACTATGAGTATATGTGTTCTAGACTCGGGAAATAATGATAATACCAAATACATTGCAAAATTCAGGTAATTAGCTGTGCTATTCTCTGTGGATAAAAGAGTGCTGTATAATGTTATTGTTAATGCATCTAAGTTGTAGCATGTACCGATTTTAAATAGCAAAAGTCTGAAAGTGGGGCGAAAACCTACCTGGACCATTGTTCAGAAGGCAAACATAAAAATTTAAGTTTTTTTTTTTAATTTCTAAAATTTTAGGATTATAGTTCAGCATGTACTCATCATACATGTAGTATATCTAAAAAGCTAAAAAGTGTTTTTAACCACAACATTTATTATAAAAATCCAAGATGCATGCTATTGTTACTAAAAAATATTTTGGGGAGGAAAACTAAAATTCATCAGAGAGAAAAAAAAAATGTATGTACAGTATTTTTGACATATTAGTAGACTCTAAAATCGATTAAATAAGTCTTTGAAACCTCTAAATTGTCATTTTTTTTTCTTAGTCTTCGGCCCTTGAAACACTTGAGAAATTTGAGTGACGTCCAATCATTGAGCGACGCCCAGGATTTGCCTGTCGAACAAATCCTGGCGCCACCCCTGCTTTTGCTTAAAAAAATAATTTAAATAACTTTCAGCACTTGAAATACTGTACTGCACAAATCGCAAAACCTTTTACAGAAATGTAACAACAATCAACAATCTACTCTATTTTTAAACCAAAAAAAAAATGTGAACAGTGATACAATTTGGCCAAGATAGATTTACCCTTTGTCTTAGTTAAAATTAATCCAATGCGAACACATCTTGTATCTAACAGCATGGTAGGATGTGTTAAAACAGGTTTTAAGCATACACATACCTATAGTTTAAGTGTATTTTAGTAAAGAAAACACTTTAAATATGGATATTTATTATTAAAAGAACACATAAAAGATGTAACTGACAATACAAGCAGAACAAATTATCAACAGAATTCAACAAATCTGCAATCACTGATGATATTGTAAAAACATCCACATCCCTGACTGGGAAAACACAAAGATCCTTGAAAAAGAAACAGAAGGGTACCCACCAACTATCCCACTGATCTCAAATCCTAAAGCTGGGCCCCACCACCACTCGTAAGAATCCTGCTAGCCTGACGTCAGGCTCTGCAAGCAGTATCACCCCACCATACAGCGGCTGCAATAACAACTAACTAAAATGTCGGAGCTGATAACGGACTTTTTTGGTTCAGTTTATAACTGTATGTATGGAGAGTATAAGACTATGATTCCTCAAAATTTGGAGATCAGTTTTACTTTTTCTTGTTGCATGCTCATGAAAATTGGTCCAAGATCATTTTCAGACCATTGCTATTTTGAATTAGTGTGCTACAACTTTTTTGATTTGCAGATTTGGAATTAGCATTGAAAGATCGAAGTTCATTTAGATTTGCGGAAATTTATGAAAGACATTTATCTTTATTTTTGTAACATGAAGTACCGTACATCAAAGCTTTTGGGATTTTTTTACTATATTTTAAAATTGGAATTATTTATCTAATTCAAATTTCAGTTTTCTTTTATTTGTTTTCGTTGAAGGAATCTCATGCAAAATAGTAATCTTGAAGGAAACTGGAAACAGATGGAGCTATGCTCATGCCTGCAAACTGACAACCACAACTGTGGTGCTTTTGTGATGCTGGTAGGCAATGTATTAAAACATTTGCAACTGTTCAAACATTATACCAAATCATAGAGAAAGATGACCAATACATTTACAAGGATTAAAGCTATTTGCTTTACCTTTAGATTTCATAAACCAAAAGGCCCACTAATCTCAGATAAGAAAGTATAATTAATACTAATGAAACAAATGAGTAGGTAGCACTTTTTTGATTAACAATGAATTTTATTTCACAAGCTTTCGCCCCAGTCAATGGGGCTTTATCAGATTAGACAATAAATAGTACATACTCCAAGTACTGAAATGCAATGGCGTGCGTTTCAATATTTGGAGTATGTATTGTACATTCTTTTTTTAAAATTCATAGCAATTATGGCTTGCCTCAAAGTTCTTATGTATCATTAAGTATCGGTTTTTTTGCCCGTCACTATCTTGCCTCCAACTGTGCCTGACGACCGTCGGCCGACGCGATTCTGTGGAGAATGCAGTTCCACCACACATGCAGGTCATTCTACCTCAAATCAACCAAATGTTTCAAAATCCCCACACTTTTGTCTCTGATTCATTTCAAATGCCTATCAAATACTCGCTAATCATTCATATGAACAAACCTGAATTCAAACTTTATAGGTCAAAGTCGTTTTGAGGCATGGGCATTTTAGTGAAGTGGTTGGTGAAAAATTTAGCCAAAAAATGCGACTTTCATTTTTTAACTCTTTTTAGAAGTCAGTATCTCCTGAAATGTGTGATGCACAAATGTCAAAAAAGAGTGATTCAACTTTATGAGCGACCATGTTTGAGACCCAGAAATATATACTTGCTTTTATCACAACCCTTCATTTTTTTTCTCTGTCCATCCCACTGGCTATATAAGCCATAAATCAGAGCTATACATTACGGACAGACCCCTCTGAAATCCAAAAAAAGTCATTACAGACATATTTTCAGTTGAGAAAAACCAAGTGTGTGCCTACTAGCAGAATCTTAAAACTTTACCATTTAAATCTATTGTTATGTAATGTATATGTTCCAAATTTTATTATCCTTATGAGGCCTAAAAAAATGAATTTTTTGTTTGCTCTCCTTCTTTTAAAAAGATAAAAAAGGGTGGGTGGAAAAAGATGGAATAAAAATAACCCACAGAGGCAATATCTTGCATCAAAATAACAACTTTAGACTAATTTGTAGGGCATCTGACAAAAAATAAAAATAAATTCACTCACATTTTCCCGTTTAAAACATGTCAAAACTGACCAGTGCTCATTTTCTTTCTTTGCACCTAATCTTTGAAACTCACTTCCACTTGCGGATTTTTAATGTAAATCTCACCTCAACCATTTTCTCTTTTCCCTTGCTTCCTTCATAGTTTTACTTATTATGTTCAATGATCATTCAGTAACCTTCAAGTTTCTATTGTTTTAACTGGCACTATAAAAATTTAAAAAATGTACGTCAAATTGTGATATACCATGAATGGTACAATTTTTTCAATAATCTTTGGGAAATATAATAGAAAATTATCTTGAAACTAAAATAAAATTGACAACTATATAATATCAAACTCGAAATTGAAATTATCTTGAGACTTGACGCATAACAGAAAAGTCAAGTGAGCATTTGTGCAATGATTCGATTGAATACATACATTTATTGAAAAATGTTTGAAATGGATACAGAGATTTGTTACTGCAATATTGCAGGAATATATCTGACATTGCCCCCTGTATGAAAAAATCAGAACGAACTGTTACCGTAATATTGGGGTTGCAATGTTATTGCATAAATTCTGTTATGGTGCCAGAGTGTGTCTGAAACAGGTCTTATTCCCGCAATATTACTATACTCAGTGTAAACAAAGATGCCAAATAGAATTACAAATGGCATGCCGAAGTACATAATCCATTCATACAGAAAGGTAATATTATGACAATTTTACCGCAATATTTGATTAGTGTGAATGGATGCATATGCCAGTTAGCTTACCGACATGCGAAATTGCAAGCCTCAACTGTGAGAAAGTGGCTTTCATTAATGTGAGCAAGAGGAAAATTGTACTTGCCACACCAACCTTAACAGAGAAATGACGACATTGAAGATAATTAATATGTATCTTCTGCAATAACAAGATCTCAAGAATTGTTCTTTTTTTTTTCAGAATGCATATGCAATTAGCAAAGGTGTAAACCCTGAAGTGTTGGGATTGTTGGAACATTATTATGCTGAATTGATGCGGCATTTTGTATGGCATTGTCTAAAAAACTCGACCAAAGATTGAAAGTTTGTTCCATAGCTTTCCTTAAAATTTAGCAGATTTATGTTCATTTTTTCCCACCAAGCAGATGCAGATTGTGTAATTTTAAGTTTAGAGGCATGCATTGAAGAATAAAAAGTTATATTGTGTTTGGCTCCAAGAGACTGCAGAAAAGTCAACATTCGTAATTGTAGAATTTGCAATGGTTCTGTCAAATTCTCTAGTAAGTTGCATAACCTTGGCTCAATCCTTTACTCTGAAATTCACTTAATTGATCACATTCCATTTGCCAAAACAACAACTTCCACCTTCGCAACATTTCTCGCATAGGAATCAAATATATCTTTCTTGTGACTCCAGTGAGCAAATATTCATGCTTTCATTACATCTCTTCTGGACTACACCAACTTAACTCTTTTATATGGGTTTTCTGAACATTGTCATCAGTCGCTCATCTCTTGTCCAAAACACTGATGCACGGTTTACTCTGAAGCCAAATGAATGATGATGCCACTCTAATTCATAGATGATTACATTGGCTCCCACATAAGGATAAAGTTGTCTTCAGAATTCTACCATGCTTTTTCTGTTTGTGCTCCAATTTTTCTGAAGCTGATTACACCTGCCATCATCAACATCTTTCAAGTATGAACTTCTGTTCAAAAATGTTGACTATTGTAGAAAACTCAATGCGCCATGGTCAGAGAAAAAAATATAAAAAAAAAAAATCCCAATAAATGTAAGAAAATGCAGATAAATTTTAAACAGAATAATCCTTACCTGCCTTGGTTTGAAATTTGTGGAAATATGTTATGCCCGAAGAACAAAAATATTAGGTGTTTATGTTGAAGAAAACTTGAAATGGGACATGGAAATCAACAAAATGATTTCAAAGTGTAAGAGATGTTCGTACAATATTTTGAATGTAAAACAGCCATGAATAAATATAGATTTAAAGAGCACCAAAGCAGCTCTAAATGATAGATTTCCTTCCTCTGATAAAAAAAAAATGCTTGTTTATTTATTAAATATGTATAGCATAACTGTACCATTATCTTATTCTTTAAAATAATGTTGATTGACTGTTAAAATGTTTATTCAGAAAAAAATAATGCAACCTAAAATTTAAAAAATCTTCATCTTTTTTTTATACAAATTTTTGGTGGATATCTACTGTAGGTATTTTTTGTATTTACACTGTAAAATCTTTTGTTATAAGTTTAAATGTGTGATTCTTGTAATTTTATTGAAAGTATGAACATTTGGAAGTTACATATAATAGAAGTTTAATGAAATACATTATTATCTGAAATTAATGTGATTAATTTTTAACTATTTGTCTTTTACATCTTTCTTACAAATTCGATTTTATTCAAATATATTGTGTTTTAATGAATGTATAGCTATGAAAATATTCATTTTGCAGCTGCCATTTGATATAATAAAATTTTAATTTAATTATAAACTTTTTCTAATATTGCAATCAAAAGTTCCCTAACGCTGTACTATAATTTTAATGTTATTAAAAAGCGTCTGTATGCATTTTTCAAATTTTAGATTTTATACTGAAATTTTGATGTTTATTATAACTGAATGTATTGTTGAAAGTATTTATGTATTAAATATGATATAAACTAAGTTTGATATAAATTTTATTTTCCTCTTAGATTTTGAATTTAAATATTTATATAGTATGTCAAAAATATAATTGTTTTAGTTAATTTCAGTGATTTTCTTTACTCCTTTTTTGTATATTTTATTTTATTTTTACATTTAATAACTATTGTAAATACCATCCGTAATTCAGCAATGCTGCCATGATGTATTTGATTTGGAATTGAATGTACCATTTATATATGATACAAATTGCTTAGTCCAGGTGCTCCATAGCAGTTGCGAATGAAGCTGTTGTAAATAAAATAAATAGATAAAAAGTAGATAAATGAATGTGGCTATGGTTAGTCTATTTGAAATAGTTGGAATAATGATGACAAAACAAATAGCTCAATTCAAACAAAGATTATGTATGTAAAAAAAAAATGTAAAGAAACAAGTCATTCCAGTTTAATGCTGATATTATTTACATTTATTATTGCAAATTGTACTTTTTTAAGTATTTCGACTAACAATAATGTATGGTATGCAAGGTTTTAAAAAAATGCATTGCAAAAAGACATTTAAAAATAATGAAACTTGAAGGAAAAATGATCAACTAGAAATATCTAGTTAGCTTAAGTCAATGACATAATAAGTATGCTCTCTGTAAATTAAATAAGATAATTAAGGATGTAGCACATTCAATGCATCATTTACTCATATACTTTTTACACTGAAATTTTGATATTCATAATGACTGAATATATTGTTCAAAGTTTTTTGTATAATAATTTAAGTTTGAAATACATTGTATTTGATATAAATTTTATTTTCCTCTTACTATGGTATGCAAGTGTAACAGAATATAACAAGTAAAGAATACTTAACACGTTATATCGTCATTGCGGACTTATAAAATCCGCATACGCCTTAAAACTAAAAGAAAATGCATACATTTAGAGTCCGTACTGAGCCCAAAAAATCCGCAATGAAAATATAACGTGTTACTTTTAAAAATAATGAAACATGCAGATTAACTTATTAAGAAATATCTAGTTAGCTTTCAATTACATCAAGTATGCTCTCTGTAAATAAGGTAATTAAGGATGTGGCATGCCCAATGCATCTTACACTCGCGCAATAAATCAGGTAGTATTCCATTATTCAAGTACTGTACATCTGTAAGATCTAGAAACTTATTTACAATACAGTATGACCAACTCAAAAAATATCAAATATATACCAGGTTACTTTCTCACAACTTCAGTGTTTTTTTCTTTTATCTTTATTATTTATTCAAAATATACCTTGCCAATTGTATTTTTTAATGTGTGTTATTACCGTGTCCAAGCATTTACTCACGACTTCAGAATTGCAATATGTATATTTTTTTCTTTTGTTTATGGTATTGTATACTAGTTAGCTTTCATTTACATCAAGTATGCTCTCTGTAAATAAGGTAATTAAGGATGTGGCACACCCAATACATCTTACACTCGGGCAATAAATCAGGTAGTATTCCAGTATTCAAGTACTGTGCATCTGTAAAATCTAGAAACTCATTTACAATATGACCAACTCAAAAAATATCAAATATATACCGGGTTACTTTCTCACAACTTCAGTGTTTTTTTCTTTTATCTTTATTATTTATTCAAAATATACCTTGCCAATTGTATCTTTAATAATGTGTGTTATTACCGTGTTTAAGCATTTACTCACGACTTCAGAATTGCAATATGTATTTTTTTTTCTTTCGTTTATTGTATTTATTCAATAATATGTCACATGTCCTTTGTATTTTAATGTTTTTTTAGTTTTCCTTATTTTAAAAAAGGATCTGGAAACCAAATTCCATGTGAACCAAGCTGTGCATGTTAAAAAAATTTATTTTGTTAAATGGATTTGCAGGGAGAAAAGTTAAGCTTTGGGGTCAGTGTGTATTAAATAAAAAAAATAAGTACTGTCATAGGTTTATGAGGCATAGAAAAGTCTTTGTATGCAATTATTAAACAAAAATCGTGTAAAGTGCTTTTTTATTAATGTTAGTTTGAAAATGGGAATTCCTGACATATAGGTGCAAAACAAAAGTAAATACAAAGGATTAGGATTAAATGGTCTTCGAAATGAAGTAAAGCGCATGGGATGCTTTTGAAATATTATGTTCAATATGAAAATGCCATTTCAATTTTAAGAAGAAAGTATTTTATGGGAATTAACACAAGAAAAAAAGAGATCATGAATAATTTGGTTATGATTATGATGGTATTGTTCCACTGGTGCACATGAACTTACATTTTTTTGGTCTAGTATTATGATATTGTTATTTTACTACATTCCACATTGTTTTAGCATAGACCCTATGGTTTTAGGTATGTATTTGTAGATGATATATGGAGTAATTTTTTTGTCTTAGATATTTACTGAAACAAGCAGCATACAGGACTGAGGTAGTATACAGCATTGCATTGTATTACACTGTATGATTTAAGGGTCAAAATCTATATTCTTAATATAATTGTTTAAGATGATAAAGTTGTGTTAGGAACAACATCTCAGTATATGTTTGGACATGAATTTTGTACATTTTTTTGTTTTTTTTTGTTTTTGTGCATTTTTAGGAATACATCTGCTCTAGCAAATAAGTGCCTTAAGTATATGCATATTTATATTATTGCATAATTGCTTCCAAATACCTAGTACATTGCCATTATACATATCAATAACAATATTCAATCGATAGTCTTCCATTTCACATCCACTAATCAAGCAATCACTGTTCTTTAAAGACAGAGATTGGCATTCAAATATAATTATAGTGTTATAGTTTATTTATTATTTTATTCTTTGGTTTGCCAGTCTGTCAGGATGCAACAAAATGAAGATCTTAAGTAATCTACTAAGCGGCATGTAAAGTAATTAAAATAAGTGCAGTAAACATAAATGATATTCATACTATGGCTGTAATTTGTAAACTTAATATCTTTCTTAAAAGTGCATCGCAATTATGAATTACGTCTATATAGCTGTAGTAAAAAATCTGACATAAAAAAAACTCAACTAATTCAGGTCAAGGAAGTCTTTTGAAACAATGTTTTATAACAGGAAATTTGTCAGATAAGGTTTTATGTACTGGATAAATCATTAAAAAAAACCAGTAAATTACTTCTGCAATATACTGTACATTCTGTAAATAGATTATATATATATATATATATATATATATAGGCCTATAAACCATGATATAATAGATAAAATCTATACCATCTTTATATATGTACATATATTGTACATCTTTATATATATATACATATATTTAAATATATATATATGCATGTATATATATATATATCTGTCTCTTATACACATCTAGATGTGTATAAGAGACAGAAAACAGTCTTTTGAAACGAAACGTCTTCATTGACATCTTTCCGCACGAAACCTTATCTTGTTTCAGACAATCCTCAAGATCATGCAGATGAGGTTGCTGTGTTGGTTGACATACGCTGCACAAGACGCGTAGCTTGTAGCCGATCCCTTCTGTTGTACCATACACAGTCCTCAGTTGATTCTTCAGGTAGTTTAATACCTAAATAACAAAATATTATTATTTTAAATTCATGGCTTATTTTCAATTGTTTTGTTCCATTTAACAATAGCATGGAAGTGTTTTGTTCAAAGTGAATCTTATATTTTGTGGGAAATGGCAGTAAATAACAGTGGTATTACTATTGTTTTGTTGCATGTAAATTCTATTTTCCTCATCAGAGCTTATATTATAGACTACATAAGATAAAATAATTATTAGGTTCGGCAAAACATCATTTTTAATGG